CAAACTCAGGATGCTCAGTTCATGGAAATGTTCCTGAACCTATCCAAAGGGTAAGAAGAGTTGAAAGCACTCCTTAACGGGAATTTGACCAAGAAACATCCTGACAACAACAAGGATGACCAGTTAGAACAACTGCAGGCTGAGATAGAAAGGATGAGAATCCAGATGAGTAATCAAATGGCTCTTATCCAAAGCTTAGCTCGGGGACATGAAAAGTTGAGGATTCACATCAGTAAGCTTCATCAAGACGGATGTAACTGTATGAAGAAAACAGTCGAGGCTGGGGATCAAGTCATTAATCAGCCCCTGATGAGACAAGAAGTTGGCTTGGTGGAGAGTAGACCTTTCAAAATGGCTTCTACGTCACGGGCCCAACAACAACCTCGCCAACAATAACGAGGTAACTAGCGCAAGCAGGATACATCCAATAGGAAATATATCAAACTCAACATGCCAATGTCGCAAGTCTTGCAACACATGTTAAATTTGAAAATTGTCACATTGAAGGATCCTCCTCGGAAGCTAATACTTCCGCTCCTACTTACCATCCCAATGAAAAACACGCATACCACTCCAACAGTCCGGGGCATGATACTGATAGATGTTGGATGTTGAAATATAAGATTCAAAACCTGATTGATGAAGGAGTGTTGGAATTTGCACAAGAGGGTCAACTAGAATTTTTCTGTCATCCCTCTAAGACACATCATTTGAAGTGACGAAGTTTAGGCAGAGAATTTTTTGTTTATTCTAATTATCACTTGTAATTTCTTTGTTTTGTTTAAACACTTATCTTTATGTCAGACTTCGGTTACTTTCATTAAATGCATTTCATATGTTTGTCTTGAATAAATCCATGTGTTTTCACTATATTTAAACCGTGCTTTTACTTATTTTGTGATATTCAACTCCTGATCAAAAGCTCTAAGCCTTTAGATGGAGGATGACGAAAACGATACCACAATTTCTACAATATGCTTTTGAACAGACCCCGCTGACGATGTACAAGCGTTGTTGCAAATCCTAAACAATGGAGTTATAAGGAAGATAATCCCTAGTCAACCCCTTTAATCCTAAGAAGTAGGAGTTTTTCTTTTCAAACAAATTAAAACCCTTAATCATAACCTGGGGCAGGGTAGTTTTCTTAGTTAATTCAGATGTGCATTCAGTCGCAAGCTTTACCTTCATACACGACAAATAGTGTAGAAGATGCCCTCCAAAAGATGGTGATGGTTCCACATAATCGTCAAGACAAGAAGTCATTACCCCTCAAAATAAAAGCCCGTTAAGTCAAAAACCTATGAAGGAGACTTAAGAAAAACCGGGGCATCCCGCTGACTGTAATCACAAAAGAAACAATTCAGGAAAAAGTAGGGATAACAAAAAAAAGAGGTCTTACGAATCCTCAACAAAAAAAGAAAAGGTTACAAAAATGACCGCCTTCTCAAAAAAACGTTCAATACCATCACCAAGTATCAGAGCAAAGATTTCAGACTCAATTGGGATCTAAATGCACAATTAGCTGAGCATAGGATTGAAGAACATCACGAAGAACGAGTTGGATACAAATAAAATTCGAGCCTTTAACCTTTTTTTCTTAAACCATGAACCAGGCCACATTATAACCCTTAAAAGTCCTGTAAGGTTTGCTATAAATCCTGAGTTGATATCACACTCTTACAAAATTTGTTTGTTTTACTAAAAAAATGAATTTTCAAACTTCAAGACAGACATAAGCTTAGCATTCTTTAATACCATTGTTTGCATATGACTATTTGTTCAAATAGTAGAGAAATTTGCACAACGAATATTCAATGAACAAAATCCTCTCAATAGACGAAATCATCTCAGCTGGAAAGACATTTCCAGTAACAAGTCTTTCATAATCAAGGGCATAACATGGTGTCCAGCTGATCTGGGGCATTCAAGTTAAGATTCGGGGAATCTCTTAAAAGTGCCAAATAGCCCGGGGCAGATCTCCATCTGAGTCACTTAGGGAATTGGAAATGAATTCCTGTAACGAATCACACCTTCTGGCAGTGTGGAAACACTTACTACTATGGACAATGACAATTCTCTGCACCCGACGAACGTGGACATAGTTAGAAAATACTACACACAAGTAAAGACCCGCTAGGTCGAATGACCTAAGCAAAAATAAGGGCATCCCGGCGAACCAAAAGGGTTGGGGTAAAAATTAGGGATATACATATGAAAAATCTGTGCACCCGGCAAGTCGAAAACCTGAAAAGGCGGCTTGGGCAAAAAAGGGTATCCCGATGGACTGAAAATCTGAAAAGATAGCCCATGCAAAAGTTAGGGATTAAAGCGTACGACTATGTCCCGTTATCTCGCCACTTGTCTATCAGTAGAAGGTTTATTACCCTGATCAGCATTCACCAAGGACTCCAAGAGTTAGGATAACAGTCAAATCGTCTACAAAATCCCCGACAAATATTTTCTCCAACAGGTACCGAGACAGGGGCATTCTACCATAAAGTCACTTCCATATCCTCAGTTCACAGCCTAATGATGTCAGGTGTTCTTATATCCCCGGCGAAGCAAAAATCTCCAATTACTGCTAAAAAAAATTTCCCAGTGAAGTCGCCAAGATTTTCAGGATTACCTAACAGGAACGTGCCTTATTTTCTATTCTTAGAAGATTTGTTTTCAGCATGAGATCCTGAAGATTCTCTGAAGATTTGTTTCATGTTTTTTGTTGTCTAAGAATCCGGTGTTTCTAGAAGCTACAAAGGACGGTTCAGACTTTGTGTGTTTCCTAAGAATGAATGTTAAAGATTTTAAGGAAACATTTAATTCAGTTCAGGAAATTATGCAGAAGATTATGTTGCAGATGTTGAAACATTTAAGGAAACAATATTGTGCTGCAGATGTCATGACTTAATGAAACGACATCGTAACTCAAGATTTGTTTTACTTTTGTGAAGACTTCTTTTTAGCACAAGATCACTGAAAATTTTATGGAGATATGATTTGCGTAATATGTGGTTAATTAAGCTTGTATTTATCAAGGCATAAAAGATTTGATCTGATTTTATTTGTTTCTCAAGATTGGATGTCGTAACATTCAAGGAAACATTATAATTTGCACCAGAATATTCTGCTGAAGATTTGATTTGTAGCCATATTTGATCTCCAAGCTCAAACGTTTTTATGGCTATAAAAAGAAAGACATTAAACCTAAGCAAGACATAAGATACAAGTGAGAGAATATCCATTAGGGTTTAGTTTGTTCTTTGTTATTTGTGAGCCACTCTTGTATCGTGTTGATGCTTGAGTTGGATTGAGTTTTGAGTTGTAAATTATGAATAACTCATAAGCTTTTAAGCAAGAGTGGATTCTGTTTCGTTGGAGTGTGTCTCCTTCTTGATTTTTTTTTTACTGTTTTATCATTTGTTGTGTGATTGAGGGGAAGTGAGAGGGGTCTCATATCTAGGAGAGTCCTAGATAGAAATACCACAAGTAGTGATTAGGTGCGAAGTTTGTAAAACCAGAAGTTGTTTATAACTTCAAACTAATATTGTTATAGTGGATTTCCTTCATGGCTTGGATGCCCCCAGATATAGGTGACGTTGCACCGAACCGAGTTAACAATTGAATTGTGTTATTTATATCATGTTGTTTACTTTAACTTGTTTAATATTATGTCTGTTGTTACAATGTCTTAAAATTGTGCTTGATATTGCATTTGACATCCTAGTGTCGTGACATCGTTTATGACATCTATCTTATTGTGCCAGAATTTCAAAAAATATAACAATATCGGTCACAACGAATTTGTATAAAACATACAAATAACAATCATTAACAAATATACCGTTTTCGCCCAGACATGCCAAACATAATGATCTCTACAATATATCAAAAAGAAGGTGTCAGAGGTCTCTCTTGGATAAGGGTCAGCAGGTGCAAGGACATTGTCATGTGCAGCAGGAGCTTACTTCCAGTCTTCATGATTAGGGGAGACGTGCCCCTGGGATGAGGATCCATGTGAAAGACGGCTCCTAGAAGTCGATTCTTCCCCATCAAGAGGCCTAAGGCCGATTCTCCTCCTAGCCTTGACACGTTCCTTCTGAAGTCTAGTTCTCTCACGTTGAACGGGAGTGTGTTGAGTTTCACAGCTGAGTCTTAACCTGTCAGTGTTGTCGGCAACCATTTTTCTTTTAAAAAAAATGAGAAAATGACATCAGTATGCATCAAGGATATTTTCGGATATGCATCTTTGAAAACCAGTAAAGACATAATTCGGAGATGCATCTCCAAATAAGCTCGTGTTTCTAACAATGGAAGAAAACTGGACCAGTCTTGCCCTAATAGTCTAAAATGCAAGCAAGTGAAAGTGCATGTCTTTAACAACCATTTATTTCGAATGTGACTACTACCTAATGCATTTAAAATAACCTATTTTACCTAATACATTAATCAAAATTCAAAAAAAATTAAATGAGAAACTTACTCAAAAAAATGTTGAAAATGAAAAATGTTGAATGTAATAAGTGAAATTAGTTAGAAATGGAAAGCTTGAAGTAGAGGTAATGTTGATCTTTGAAAAAAGGATTGTAAGAATGTTGCTCACGAGCTTTTATGAAAAAATGATACATCCAAAAATACATATCCGAAAACTGAGAATATTTTTGACTTTTTGTCAAGAGTTAACCTATAGAGTTGGGAAAAGAACTTCCCAAACATAATTGCTCAATTATTAAGATGGGGTGTAGGATATAGGGCTGCGGGTCCAACTAGTTTGCTCCATCACGACTTACAAGAAATGGGCCTGAAAAGCCCAGCCCATGAATAAGCAGGATCGTAACGCATGTCGTTTTTCTCTTTCCTTTTGTAATCAGTAACAGCGAATAGTAAATGATGACAAAAACCGAAAGAAGAAATAGCCACCGTAACCGTAACTCTAACCGCAGTTTCTTCTAATATCCAGTTGTTACTCTTAACTCTGCACTCACCACCGAATTCCCCCAATCGCCATGGTAGAACCTAAACAGATCTCCGTTCATCACGCTCTCGGTGCCGGCATAGGTTCTCTTTTTCTCTCTTCCCCTCCGATTTCGTTCATTCTGCTATGGATGATGGATCCTTTACTTCTGTTACTTATAGTTAACGATTGATCTTGTTTACGATTCGATTAGATTATGCTTTGAACCGCTTGATTTAGAAATGAAAATCGGAGTTGACTGTTTTTTATTTGATTTGATTTGCGTTAGTTGCTGATGTGCTGCTATGGAAGAATTGGCGTGGAGGAGTTGCGGTGCTGAGTTCGGCGACGACATTGTGGTATCTGTTTGAGCGAGCCGGTTATAACTTCTTGTCGTTTGTGGCTAATGTGATTTTGCTTCTTGTTGTGATTCTGTTTTTATGGGCTAAAGCTGCTAATCTTCTTAATAGGTATAATCGTTTTGCTTTTTCAATAAGATTCTTATTGTGAAATTGTTATGCTTGAATTTTTTAATCAATCTTGCTATGAAGCACAAGAAACACCACACGTCGACACCAGTAATAATTTAAAAAAAATGAGTAAATTAAACATAATAACAAATGTTGATTTCGGACACTGACACGGAAACATGTGTTGGTACTACAAAGCAATCTTGTTTAGAGGGAGAACAATTAGTAGAGATGTTAATGTTTGTGAAATAACTATGAGGATTGTTAAGTCTCTTTTGAAATTGTAATTTGTTTGACAGAAGAAAGAGAGGTTTCTTTAAACATTCTATACAGGAGAGGTTTCTTTAAACATTCTATATAGAAAGAGAGGTTTTAAATTGGTTACTGTACGGTCTATACTTTCTCTATGATTAATTATTTTGTTTTTATGTCACAGACCGCTTCCTCCTCTGCCTGATCTTGAGATCTCGGAGGAAACTATTGGGAAGCTTGCTGATGAACTTCAAATTTGGATAAATCAGGCTTTGTCTGTTGCACATGATATAGCGATTGAAAGGAATTTGTTGCTTTGTCTACAGGTACTGGGCTATATTTTCTTCTTGTCTTTGTTTATAACGAGTTCGATAAATTTTGAGCTGTACAATTTTTCTTACATTGGCACATGTTTGTGTGAACCTGGTGAATCAGGTTGTTGGTGTATTGTTGACAATATCTTATATTGGTAGTCTGTTTAACTTTCTGACTTTGATCTATATATGTAAGTTCTATTCTTCTATAGCTCATACATGCTATAATATATAATTTTTGAAACTCTCTCTGGGAAAGTTTGGTTTAATATTTCTCTAATGATCTCGTCAGGTGTCCTTCTTAGCTTGTCTCTTCCTGTGTTGTATGACAAGTACCAGGATAGAGTTGATGAGAAGATACACGTGGTACATGGGGTTGCTCATCCACATTATCAAAAGATTCACAACATTGTTTTGAGCATTATTCCGAATCGTGCAAAAAAAGAAAAGAAGGTGCAATAGGTATGCAGTAAGAGCATGCTATTCCTTTACATTTGTGTTTGATGCACATAGTTGCCCAAAAGAATCTCCTGATTCCTTACCTATACACACAGTTTGTCTATTAGTTGCTCAAAAACAATGTCCTTAGATGTACCATCTAGGTAGGTGTTTTTGTAATAGTACTCTCGTGTTTTCACTTGACACCTTTCTATATAAGACAGTCACTAGTTTACCGTTGAAACTGAAAATAAAATAACATTTGCTGTTCTATGTTAGCTTGTGACAAGTCATCATGGAAGTTATCTATTGTGAAACTGAAGTAACTAGTTATTAGCAATCATAGAGAGTTAAGAGGCTAAGAGCTGCAGAAAGGGTGTGTTAATGGCTATGAAGCAGGGACACCGAGACTTACCCGATATCGACACTGACATGTCGACATTAGTAATAATTTGAAAAATAACGTAATCACATGTGTCATTGTCGGAAACCGTCACATGTCAAACACGGACACGTGCCTGACAATGGGCACACGTTTGTTCAGGGGTGTTTGTGCTAGAGGTTAATGGTATATAAATGATGTGCATATGAACGTCTACTTTTGATGATTCTAGCATTTATATCATTTTTCCAATTCCTAGTTACCTCTAATGATACCAAATGTAGCCGATGTTTTATATAGTTAGTTTTTGGTATAATTTTTCCATGATTGATTTGATATGAGTTTATAAGCAAAGTTGTATTCACATTCTTAAAAAAAAAAGCTTATACAGTTACATCGAAGTTGTGTCAATTTCTTCCATTTGGAATCTAGAGTGCAGATGGTTAACTGAAGTCTAGTTAGGAGCGTACAGAAACTACAGATGAATGCTTACACATGAAGTACTTGAGGTTTTCGTTTTGTTTGGAAGTCGTAGCCGTTTTAGTTCGTGATTAGTGGTATGCTAATTCTTCAGGAGCCAGATTGAAAAAGAGCTTTGATTTAGATGATTTTTCTGTTGTGATTTTCAGTGTACCCCATTGGAAGATGCTTTATATGAATTTTGATAAATAGGTATGTACCCTTGTTAAGCTTCACTTTGGATTAGATTACCAAAGGGGGGAAAAGGTTGGACTTGAGAACTTGCGCATCAGTTTAGTTTTCAGGATGGTAACATGGCATGGTTTATGGGTACAATTAGATTTTGGATGAGTTGGTTTTATGATGTATTCCTGAGTGTTTAATCAGTAATTACCACCGTGTACTGCAATACTTTTATTTTTTAAAATATGGGAAATATACAATTAACAAAATATCTTGCCACCTTAGATTACCTTGTGCTTGCTTCTAATATGATTGTAATTGCTAAAATAGGGTCTGTTTAGTTTTGTTTTAATTCTTTGAATTATTTTCTTGTTTTCAGTTTTAATTCAAAAAAGGTACCCTATTTTTATTTTCTTTACAAATCTTTGAAATGAAAAAGAAGGTGAAAACAATGTGAAACCACCATTCAGGTCCCCACTCTTGTTAAATATTAAACAATGGAAAATGGTAATACTCGTGGGCATTCAACTTTTTGAAACTTTAAATATGATTTTATTACATTAAAGTTCTTAGTTGGCTGTTAACTCCACCATTCAGTTCAGGTTTCCAACTAAATTCATAAAAAGGTCTGCTAAGAAAAAAAAAACCTTATAGCACGAACTCATATACTCCTATACTTTGGTCCATGAAGTATCAATCAAATAAGTGTCTCTGGATTGACTGTCGGTAGAATTGAGTTTGATAAAATTGATTTTTATCGTTGGTAGAATTGATTTTGATTGAATTGAGTTTGATAGAATTGATTTTAATAGAATTGATTTTATTAAAATTAATTTATGTTTATATATATTTATGTAAAAGTGAATTGAATAACAAATTTAAATGTAATATTCATATTTAAACTTTAGCTTATGCAAAATTAATTATACCAAACATTTAAAATCATCCAAATCAAACATTCTATAAGACTATTAATGCAATTTTATTTTTTGTATTCATGAACTTGTTAAAGAAAATCTTAGATTTTAGTTTATAAAAAAAAAAAAAATCTTGGATTTTAGTGTTTATTCCAAATTGGATATGTGTTTACAGATATGTCAATTTAGACTTCAAATATGTTATAATTGGTTTTAGGTATTTATAAGTTGGTTAGCATTATTTGTAAATTCTTTCGTTTTTTATTATAAATCGTTTTGAAAAAAAAAATTATACCACAACATAAATGATTTTATAATTTTAATAAATAATTAATAATATTTTTCTTATATATTCTTAAGCATTTATTATTTTCTCTCATTTCATGTAAATTTATCTTTCTTATGTCATTATTTTTTTTAATATAAATAATTTATAATAAAAAACAGATATAGTAATATTGTACAAATTATTATTTTAAAAATATAGTTGAGCTGGATTCTGAACAAGTTTAAAAATTCAAAAAGCGCAAGCCTCACGATTGAAATTACGTTGGCAGCGGTCCGGATTGTGTTACGTTTAAGCGGGAACGTCAGTCTACCTTCAGAATATTTAAGTCTCTTAGATAAATCCTATGCTCAATAAGGAGCCACGTGGATATCTTATTTAATTACTTCTTTAAAAGCCAAACGTTTAAATAAAAAGGTACCTGACCACCAACATCTAAGTGAGATGAAATGCTAACCGACACTCCACCGACTGCACAACTACTACAAAATATAGTCGAGAAAGAGATGCACAGTGATTCAAAATAAAGTAAAAAATGGTGAACAACCTTCCATTAGCCATGGCAGTGGAGTGGCAGAGCCTCTCCGTCAAAACGACAACTTTTTCTTTTTCACTCTTCTCATTATTTTTTCCATCTTATTTCTTGTTGCTTGCGCTACTCATAATATTTTTTCTTTTTTTCTAATCCTAAACGTGAATCACTTGATTGAAAATACATCATTTATGATTAAAAAAATAAAAAATAAAAGAAAAAAGTATTATTAATAATGCAAGCAACAAGAATTAAGAAAGAAAAAATAACGAGAGAAGTGAAAAAATGTTAGAATAATAATCTATTAGTGTGTAAGACACGTAAGAAAAGAAAGAGAAAATAATAAAAAAATAAAGATTATATTATTTATTTGAAATTGTATTGTATTCTATATATAATGATACACACTATAACTATTTATGTACTATTTTAATTGGGCTTGAGCTTTCTACTTTGAATTATATTTGATATTATATTTAATATTTCAACATATCTAATTTAGATTATATTTTATATTATATCTAATATCTCAACATATTTAACTTAGATTATTTTTGATATTATATATAATATCTCAACATATCTAACTTGGATTAAATATATATTTTAGTCTCTTAATTATATCATTGAGTTCAGATTGCTTTTTTAATTTTTTTCGTGTCACCTTGGTCCATTGACTTTCAAAATATTTCATTTTAATTCTTTTTTGTCTAATTAACGACGAATTTAGCGACAAATTTCAAAAAAAAAAAACGGTCGCTAATTATTAGCTGAGAATTGTCGTACCCCAAATTTGTCCTATCTTTTTACTTTTGTCTGGCTTTGAACTTTGTATCCCATTTGCACCATTGTTTACTCAATCATTTGCATATCCCGCATCTCATGGAATCAGACACTTTAGTTTGAGGTATTAGGGCTGCGCCCTCTTTATGTCTAATTTTATTTCGAAGTTCTCTTATCAGGTGAAAGGAAAATTCTTCTGGTTCTCGATTAGTGGATTGTGGAGTTTTTGTTTTGAAAAGGAGTGTAAGTGCGAAAATTTGTTTCGTTTTGAAAGAGCAAGTACTTAAGAACCATCTACCTACTCGAAAAGGGAATCAATATGTGCTAATATCCTTTAGACAATGCTATCCCACTATTGATGAGTAGGTAGCATCGTCGTTGGAGTTTTAAGGGTCAATTCGATTAAGGGACGTGTGGTCACTAAAGCAATGTTAGGACGCCTTAGCGGTAACCCTAATGTCTTAGATCATTTTTTCGAGGCAACCGTTTCGAGGCAACTATGATCTTTGGACAAGAGAGAGACCTCTAAAACTTCCTATACTCAATGACCACGTTCGAAGGCAACCAAGTGAGGTGTACCCTAAGAGTGCGCATGTGTGAGTGTGTTGTTTTCCAGTTAACTTTATCTTTGTACATGTCATGGGTGAGCTACGTTGATTTTAGGTTAAAGATTTGATCTTTGTCATGCATTCCCTATTACCAAACATCTAACAGTTTATAGATCGCGGAAATTAAATTTGCGGAAATTAAATCTAGACTATTACAAGGCGTCGGGTATTTACATCGCCAAAAACAACCCTTAAAATTAAAATGCGGAAAATAAAAGAAAGCGATAAAATAATTAAAGTCCTATTTAAAACTATTACATTCCGGAAGCAATTACAATATTGAATAAAATGGTACGCGTGCGAGAAATTAAATCGGGCGGATTTTTAGGGTTTTGACCCTTTTTTATATTAAAGAAAAGATTTTTTTTTTATTTTGAATTAAAAGGAAATTAGATCTAAATTAATTATTAAATAAATTAATTAATTAAGAAAAGGATATTTTTGGATTTTTTTTGGATATTTTAAGAAATAAATTAAATTTGATCAAAGTTAGTGAAACCTAATAATCTAAATTAATTTTAATTATTTGCAAAAGATATTGAAATTATACCTAATTAAAACTAAGTTAATTAATTAATATTTATTTACAAAAATAAAGTGCTGAATTTAATTTTAATAAATAAAAATATATTTTTAGGTTTTTTTGATTTTATGAGAAAAAATTTAATTGGTTAGTAAAACAAAATAATAATGAAAATGATTAAACAAAATAAAGAAACAAAATAAAAAGAAAGAAATAAATAGAAATAACCAAGGAGGGTGTGGGCCTGATTTGGATGTGAGATCAACTATTTTTGTGGCCCAATACAAGTCAGCCTGATTGACTTTTGCAGTTCCATGTGACACGTTGACTAGGCCTCACCATAGACCATCA